GTCTGAACCTCTGGCGCGGTGTTCCCTCACCCGTAAGTTACTTTATGTTCTTTATGTATATCTGTGTTCTGTCTGAACCTCTAACGCGGTGTTCGCTCACCTGTAAGTTACTTTATGTTTTTGTTTATGCTTTTTATGTTTTTTTATGTATGTTTGTGTTCTGTCTGAACCTCTGGTGCGGTGTTCGCTCACCTGTAAGTTACTTTATGTTTTTGTTTATGCTTTTTATGTTTTTTTATGTATGTTTGTGTTCTGTCTGAACCTCTGGCGCGGTGTTCGCTCACCCGTAAGTTACTTTATGTTTCTTATGTATGTTCTGTCTGAACCTCTGGCACGGTGTTGAGTCACTCGTAAGTTGATTTATGTTTATGTTTGTTTGTGTTCTGTTTATACTTTAATGCAGCGTGAGCTCAGTAACTAACGACTTACTCCAACTACAAAACCTACACTCACCTTAGACTCCTGTATTTTGTTAGATGCAGTGTTTTTTCCTAATGCAGTTCCAAAATGTCATGCCTGGTTTTCTCAAAGTGCTGTTGCGGGAAGTAACTCCTTTTAACTACTCCAGGTCAGGTCAGGATAATCGAGATCAATCTTGCTACAGGTATCACGTAACCCAGTACCACCTGCCTCAACCCCTGCTGCCTTGCAGAGTGTGCTCTTCTTATGCAAAGGCTAGGAGAAATAAACTCCGACTAAAAAATCCCCTGCCTTGGGGCTCTTGGTTGAGTAAAGGCTAGAGATGGTGTCTCAATAAAAACACTCATCTTGGGCAGATGTTAACTGCATCCAGCTAAACATCCCCTGCCTTGGGGCTCTTGGTTGAGTAAAGGCTAGAGATGGTGTCTCGATAAAAATACTCATCTTGGGCAGATGTTAACTGCATCCAGCTACTGTCTTGTAGAAAGCCTCCTAGGCAAAGACTTTAGGGGTAAGCAGAAAAATTCTGCTAACCAGCCTCGAACCCCTTCTTCATCTATTAGGCTGGCGTAGATGTAAACTGTGTTACATTGTTTCCTGCCTAGGATGATGAATGCTGGATCTCCTTGACTCTACTCATAGAATTTTGCTTATGCCTCCTTGATAATGGCTATGCAACTCTTCCTGTTATCTCCATATGAGGGTACAGCTCTAAAACTCAGTTTAATGGTTATGAGGCCGGCTGGTAGTAAGGTTTTCCGAACTCTGTGGTAGCTCTCAGAGAGGCTGATTCCATCAACAGCTGCAAAATATCGGAGTATTAACAGTGCCATGATGCGCATGGATGGTGTCCCTGTTAATGCTTTTGATGTGCATTGTCAAGGCCACATAAGGAGCCCTATGTCACGGCTTAGGGTTAATTAACAGGACTGAGACAACTGCATAGCTCATTGATAAGGAGGCTGTGCTCTATCTATGAATGAGTCAAGTTCTCATTAAACCCAAATCATGACCAAAGTAACCAAAAATTTAAAACCTAAAAAACCATCCCCACCACCTAAATATTTTAATATATCTTTTACAAATATTCGCGGTCTACGAAGCAACTTTCCATCAGTTGAGTCTTACCTCCTGCAAAATTCACCAGACTTGCTTGCACTCAGTGAAACAAATTTAAATTCTGCAATTGCTTCTTCAGATGTCAGTGTTGATGGGTACTATCCTTTGATTTGTAAAGACTCTAATAGTCACATGCTAGGTTTAGGAGTATACATACGCATTAACTCCCCTATTTGTCGTGAAATCAGGTTCGAATCCTTTGACCATTCTTTTATGTGCTTTCGCTTAGCACCTCTTCACTCTATTACCTTTCTCTTTGTTCTTTATTGTTCTCTTTCTTCCCATGATTGGACTCTCTTAGATGTTATCTCTCATCAAATTGACCATGCCCTCTCTCTTTACCCCTCTGCCAATATTGTTGTTGTTGGTGATTTTAATGCCCATCACACTGAATGGCTTGGTTCTAACACCACTGATCCTGCTGGCACTAAAGCCTTTAACTTCTGCGTTTCTCAATCTCTTACTCAGATAGTTAACTTTGTGACTCGTTTTCCTGACAACCCTAATCATTTACCTTCACTCCTTGACTTATGTCTTGTCTCTGACCCTAGCTTATGTTCAGTTTCTCCCTTTTCTCCCTTAGGTGGTTCTGACCATGCAATGATCTCTATAAATCTTTGTTCTCGTACTTCTTTTTTGGGCTCACCTTATCATCGCACTACCTACTACTACCCTAAAGCTAACTGGGATTCCTTTCAAGATTTTCTTTGTGATGGTCCTTCGGCTGATGTTTTTTTCTCTCTCAGCTGACAAATACGCCTCCTACGTAACCTCCTGGATTCAGGCTGGAATGGAAGCTTTTAGTCCTTCACGTCGGTTTCAAGTCAAGCCTCATTCTACTCCATGGTTTTCTCCTTCTTGTGCGGCTGCTATATCCAATCGTAATCATTTTTTTCATCTTTTTCAAAAGAACAACTCTCTTGAGAACAAACGGCTATTTATTATTGCAAGAAATCGATGTAAAAAGGTGTTTTCTGATGCTAAACTCCATTATTCTCAGTTCACTGTTATTCTCCATTATTCTCCATTATTCACTGTTATTCTCCATTATTCTCAGTTCAAATCTCGCATCTTATCGCAGAAGTTAGGCTCTAAAGACTTTTGGAAAATCTTCAACAGCATTATTAACAAGGGTAGATCTAGCATTCCATCTCTCATTCATGGGACTGATCCTATTACGTCTCCCAAGGATAAGGCAGAACTATTTGCAAAGAACTTTTCTTCTAATTCCACTCTTGAATCTTATGGACATTCTCTTCCTTCCATTCCAGTCAAACAGGTTGACCCATTGTTAGACATTCAAATCACTCCGGCTTCTGTTGCTAAAGTCATATCTCAATTAAACTCGTCTACAGCTTGTGGTCCAGACAACATTCCTGTCACAGTCTTGCAGAATTGTTCTCCAGAACTTTCTTCAATTCTCTCTAAACTATTTAACAAGTGTTTGAATGAGTCTTGTTTTCCTGCTTGTTGGAAAATGGCATCTGTGGTTCCAATATTCAAAAACTCTGGAGAAAATTCTGACCCCTCCAATTATCGTCCGATCAGTCTTCTTTCTGTTATTAGCAAGGTCTTTGAGTCTTTGATCAACAAATTCCTCACATCTCATCTTGAGTCAAATAAACTACTGTCAGACAATCAATACGGTTTTCGATCCTCTCGCTCTACGGCCGACTTGCTAACTGCTGTAACTGAAAGATTTTATCGTGCATTAGATGGAGGTGGTGAGGCTAGGGCTGTTGCTCTCGACATATCTAAAGCTTTCGACAAAGTTTGGCATGCTGGTCTTCTCCATAAGCTTGCTTCATATGGTGTTTCTGGGAAAGTTTTTGAGATTATCAAATCATTTCTTTCTAACCGGTTTATTAAAGTCATCCTTGAAGGATGACTTTAATAAACCGACACTCTTCTTTATTTCCAGTAACTTCTGGGGTTCCCCAAGGTTCCATCCTGGGCCCTGTTTTGTTTCTTATCTACATAAACGATCTTCCTGACAAACTTTCATTTAAAGTAGCTCTTTTTGCTAATGACTCAACTTTATACTCCTGTCTTGACAAAAAGTCTACTCTTTTCGATCGCCTAGAACAAGCAGCTGATCTTGAATCCGATCTCACTTCATTAATAGATTGGGGTTCACAGTGGCTTGTGAATTTCAACTCTAAAAAAACCCAGTTGCTTACTGCAAACAACTACCGTAATATGGTCAACATTCGTATATTAATGAATGGCAATCCTCTTACTGAGTCCTCCTCTTTACGTCTTCTTGGATTATCGCTTACTACTGACCTTTCATGGAAACCATATATACAATTGATTGATAAATTAGCTTCTGCTAAGGTTGCTTCTCTTTATCGTGCTCGCCATTTCCTTACTTCTGATTCCATTCTCTACCTCTACAAATCTCTTATTCGTCCCTGTGTGGAATACTGTTGTCATATTTGGGCTGGTTCTTCTAACGATTCACTTTCTCTTCTTGACAAGGTCCAAAAACTCATTGTAAATGTTGTTGGACCTGGACTATCTGCTAAGCTTGAACCTCTTTCCCATCGTCGTAAAGTTGCATCTCTTTCTCTTTTCTACAAATACTATCATGGTCACTGCTCAAAGGAGCTATTATCTCTAGTTCCATCAACTAAAATTCATTCTCGTTTTACTGGTCATTCAGCTAAGTCTCATTCGTTTACTGTATCTGTCCCTGCATGCTCTAAAAACTTTTATTCATCTAGTTTTTTTCCCCGCACTTCAATCCTTTGGAACTCTCTCCCATCTTCATGTTTTCCTGACTCATACAACCTTCAACTTATCAAGTCTTCTGTCAACCGTTTCCTTGCTCTATAACTCTGTTCTATTTTTTTCCTAGTAACTCCCAACTTAATAGTGGTTGCTTGCAGCCTTGTTGGGAGTGAATGCAAATAAAAAAAAAAAAAAAAAAGATAGAAGATTATATTTTCTTTTTCCTCTTTAAAAAAAAACAAATAAAATTAAAGGAAAATCATTCTTTTTAATGTTGACTTTTTTTTTTGTTGCTTTGCCATATCCAATTTTGTTGCTGAAAATAATAACCACCCTACAGAAACAAAAATAAAAACAGTACACAAGTTATTTAAGTTAATTTTTTTTTTTTTTCTTAAATTTATTTTAATTTCCAATTTCTTTAGTTTTGCTTTCTTTGTTTTTAAAACTTAGTTTTTCTGCAAAGTATTGAAACGCCTAATATGATAAAACTTACAAATGGCCACAAATAAGTTGCTTAAAATAAAAAACTTATGCATGGACATGAGACAAAAAACTGCATGCGTGTCCTGGGAAGGCTTGCAAACACATACTTACCATAAATTTAAATTGTTGTTTTACATAATATATCCATACATATGAAAGTAGAAAATTATGTAGATATAAAGTCTAGTTAAAAAAGACTTTATGTAAACAAATATTGTTGATTATATTTTAACTGTACAAACCTAATTAAGTAAAGACAGACTCTTTGAAATGTAGTTTTATCAACATGCTTTTTTAATAGTTCAAGCTGTTCGATTTCCATGGCAAGATCACAAGCATCTATTTCAGCATTGTGCTTCATATCATAAGGAATGATGTCATCTGCTAGTTGAAGCAAATCTTCTCTGTTTCCTTCTTCACGTTGTGAAAATTCTATTTTGATTTCCTCAGCCAGATGCCTTAAAAAAATATATTATTCAAAACAACATTATATTTAATAAGTAAAAAGATATTTCTTGTAGAAATAATAAAACAAAATCTCATCCTCTACCTAACATATTCATGACCCCATGATTCAAGAGGTTCAGTTGATCCTAAAAAACGATATTTCAAACAGTCTCTATTGTCAGTTCTGGTCATTCCAAGAACAGATATGATATCAGCTAGAAATCTCTGTTATAAAAAATAAAAATAAGTTGCATTAAGTAAAAAAAAACAAATGCATAAAATCAGTAAAAAAAAAAAACTTTTATACTTAAATATGATTAATAGATTTGTATAAAAATAGTATATTAAATAAGGCCATGAGAACAAAAGTGGTGTAAGCAACATATTAAAGCAATAGTGGAAATAGTAAAAATAAAACTCTGTAGCTTTTTTAATTGAATTATCTCACTTGTTTTTGAATTCATAGCAGCTTTTCAGTTTAACCATCTATTGAGACATTTCTTCAAGTTTTTTATAGAGTTATGTTACACAAAAAAAAACTTTTGTAAATTTGTGGGTTACATCACTTTCGTTCTCATGGCCTCAAATATATACAGGCCTTGCGATAAAGCGTCAGGCGATGTGAATTTTATGTCGTCCAAGAGCGATTTTGCGTGTAGCTAGGGCTATTTGCGTCGAGCAAAAAATTTTTTGTTTGAGTATATTTAAAGATATTTTTGAGCGGAATTTTAATGAAGTAATTTACAATTATTTTAACATTTAATAAAGTATTTAAATTTTTATTTTTTATTTAATATGTTTCAATTTTTTAATATTAAAAAAAAATATTAAAGAAAATAAACATTCTTTAATAGCATTTCTACACTGCTTTTATTAATTGAACTCGTATTGCTGTAAATGCGATCCCCACCCCGTCCCTGGAAGTACCGCGCTCAACTTGTTTCCCCCCGCAGGGGCCTTGTTCGTCAAGGTTCGTGTTTCGGAGTTATAGAGTTGAGAGAGGGTTACAACCACTATTGAGTAGCCTCCTCGGCCTTGAGGAGGTGAATAAAAAAAAAAAAAAAAATTTATGTTGTGGTACTTTGAAAAAGTTAATATCTTTAAAAAATATTAAATAATGTATTTAAAACAAGGCCTGATAATTTGATTATAAATTCAATGGTCTGACTATACCAAAAAAATGTGTAACTTTAGAAAGATTCAGATATTGCTTGAAAGAAAATTGCAATTAAATTTTGACATTTCAAAGAAAATATTTGATTACTCTTATTATCTGTTTATATTGACACAGAGAATTTTTTTCTTTTTTTTTTTAGTTTAATTTGTCAACAAGTTTATCAATATTATTTTTAAAATATTGTCTAAAACCTTATATGTGATATTAGGTTTGAAGGGATATGGTAGGTCCACATCTACATTACATTGTGATGTGATTAAAAGCATACCTTACTAAATATAGGTATGAGGTATGTAAAAACTTGAAAGTATGCGCATGCATACAATTGTATGCAATTACTAACCATATCTGCTAATAGAAATTCTACAAATAATTTTTTTCACTTCCAAAAAGACTACAACCAACCACTATTTAAATTAACAGGAATCAAATAAGAGAGTTATAAAAAAAAGGACTTTAAATGCTACTTTCTTAACAACAGGAAAAGAGAATTGAACACTTATTAAATAGTTTTCTCGAAAAATTTTTGTAGGACTGTGAAAGAAGTGTTGTCTTGACAACAAGCTGTGGAGGAATTTTTAATCAGCAATAAAAACCTGGAAAGATTGGTCCAAATTGTTAAAGATTTTCATAAAGACTTTAGAACTCATTTTTGAAATAAAATAAGAGATTTAGTTATATGAAAATGATTTTTTTACATCAATTTTTTTCCTATGAAAAATAGACGTTTGTTCTCAAGAGAGTTGTATTTGTGGAAAAGATGAAAAAAATGATTAGAAATACCAGCTGTGAAAGAAAACCATGAGATAAAATGAAGCTTGATTTGTTTTTTTTTTATGCCTACAATATGACTTAAATTTTAAAATGATGAGAAGAAAAAAAACTTCTATGTCTTCCTGCATCTAGGATCTAGATCCTGTATCTAGAAGAAATAAAACTTCTACACCTTCCTGCATCTTCTTGTATCTATCTGTAAAGGAGGCACAATTTTTAGCAGACATTTAAAAACCATGAAGAAAAACGCACAAAAAATCCCAGTCAGCTTTTTAGTAATTGTAAAAAATGTGATGACAGTATGAATCTGACGTAGAAGAATGAGGAGATAAAAATTTTAGTGTGATTATATTTTATCTGAACTACCTAATAAAGAACAAAAAGAAAATGAGCACTAGTTGAGAAGCTAAGCAGAATGATTTCTTGGAAAAAAAGGATAATGATTTTGAACAAAAAGAAAGTTAAGTAAAGAGGTGCTAAACAACAAAAGATGTGCAAATAAACCAAAGGAACATAAAAGAATAGTCAGAGAATTTAAATCTCAGAATAATTAGGTTAATTGATTCATAATTATATACCTAGGCCTAGCAGGTGACTCTTGAAGTATTTGCATATTAAAGGATAATAGACATCAACACTGAGATCTGAAGATGAAATAGCCAAATTTAAATTAGTCTCACAGAAAGTAGATCTGAAAAAGTTAGCAAGAGATAAGATTCAACCGATGAAACATTACTTTAAAGATGCTAAATATGGAATATTGAATTACTAGTAATATTTGTAATTTGTAATATTATTAACATATATTATAAAAATTTTAAATATAGTTTCTGGTATATTGTATAAATATCAGCAAAGATGCAAAGTCAGAGTCAGGATTCCATATTTTCCAAGCAACATAAGTAATCCTAAATTTTAATTGAAATAGAAAAACATATAGAAGAATAAAGTGGATGTTCAAATAATATTTAAAACTTAAATAACTTATAAAAACGTGACAAACAACTTTAAAAAAACGTAACGAAATAATAGTTTAGCATTATAAAAAATGTTACTAATGGACCGTAAAAACGGGCGTTAATTTAAAAATTATCCAATAAAAATTTTTTATTGGTTGATTTTAAAATTAACGCATGTTTTTACATAACGCTTTTCATAATGCTATACTTTTTATAAATTACTCTTTTAGAACGTTATTTAAGTGATCTGTAAAAGTTCCTAAAATTTTTATTAATATTTTAATATCTGCTTTATTTTTTCTAGATGCTTTTCTACTTTGATAAATGTTTGGAATTAATAATGTTGTTTGAACAAAGAATGAACTTTAAAAGTAATGTGTTTTATAAATGAATCAATGTATGCAAAAACGTTTTAAGTCATTTTTTTTTAATATATTTTTTTTAATATTTGATGAAAATTTGTTTTTTCAAGACAGCTCCACCATTGTATAGTAAAACATTCCAAGTCAGACCTTTCCGTTAAATAGAGAGCTGAAATATTGTCTGTATACTAAAAGGTCGTAAAAGTGACTTAGAAGGTTTTTGTTTTTAACAAAAAATACAAATTAAAACCTGTTATTTTAAAATGTCAAATAAACCCAAAAGGGGAATTTAGGGGCAAGGTATATAGTTCTCATAAGTTATAGACATGTTTCATTTACTAGTTACTTAATATAGGACATGTTTCATTTACTAGTTACTTAATATAGGACATGTTTCATTTACTAGTTACTTAATAAAAATGAGACTATGTGGAAAAGGAATGTTGTAAAAGAAGCTAGAGTGAAAGGAAAAGAGTACATTGACTACAAAGGAAGAACTGTACCTGCTACTACTGTTGGAACTGATTACAGGTGAGATTTGTATTGCAATTTCGATACCTAATTAGCCTTTTAAAATTTTGTTTAGGCTTATCATAGCACATCATGCAGCATGTTTTCATAAAAGAGTCTAAGACAAAACTAATCCAACACGTGCCATATCGTTCCATTTAGGCTAGTGAATTGACCTTAAACAGTAGCCAAATGTTATAGCCAAATTACTCAAATATCCTTTTTTAGAGTTCAGCTATGGCATTTAGGTCTACCACGAACATTTATATCAGCATAATCTTATGAGATATTTTGCTTTTTAGATGCTCGAAGAAATGTATGGAACGTCTAAAAAACCAGAGCGATAACATCTTTGCACGCATGAGATCGTTACAGACAAAAAACGAGCAAGATGTGTTTCTACAATCGTTGATTACAAGCATGAAAGTGAAAACTCACCGACCCAGAAAGGAAGGTGTCGAAGGAAGAGTAACTCATGACTTTTCATTTACATACGAGGTTTTGGTGGGGGATGCCAAAGAAAAGGTATGTGTGGATGCCTTTAAAAGGCTTTATGGTATTAAAATTAGCCGTATTCGACGATTGCGCTCCCTGTTGGTATTAGGAAAATCACCAAAGGACCTTCGAGGGAAAAAATTAAGAACGAATGCAAACAGTTATCTAGATGCTAGACTTAATGTCAAAATTTTGAACTCAATGCTTAAAGAAAAACATCCTGAAGATAAATGTAACTACCTATTTTTTCTAGGCTACTTTAACGACAACTTTACGTTAAGATTTGGCAATCCCCAGATAGACTCTTGTTGCACCTGTGAGGAGCTTAATTTAAAATTACAAAGCCCTTATCTCAGTGATGTAGCAAAGAGAAATGCTGCTGCTGAACTGATGCTGCACAAACGTCGATCGAAAAAGTTTTATAACAAACTCCAAAATGAAAGCAACCCGGAAACAAAACAAAATGAACCACATGTCTTAGCGATTGCATTTGACTACATGCAGAATATCCCTTTACCAATGATACAAGTCCAGGAAACCTTTAACCTCAGACAGCTATCTGTTAACCTCTTCTCTATTCACGATGTGAAATGCAATAAAGGTCATGTTTATGTGTATCATGAAGGCACAGCCAGAAAAAGCCCTGATAAGGTGTGCTCTTTTGTGTACAATTACCTAATGTCTGCTTCTCCACAGTTTACTGAAGTCCATGTCTACTCAGATAACTGTGGAGGCCAAAATAAAAACCATGCACTAAACAAAGTCTTTTTGGCTCTCACAGATACTGTCCGATTTGATTGAATCGAGCAGTACTACCCAATAAGAGGTCACTCGTACCTACCTTGTGACCGGGACTTCGCTGTAATAAAGAGAAAACTGAAAAGGTATGACAGGGTGTACACTGTTCAACAGATAACTGAACTTAACATCACTTCTAGTACTACTGGTTGAAGAAGTCGCAACAGAAGATATTGTAAATTTTCAAAAGTGGTGGCCAACATTCTACAAAAAATCTTGCATTTCGGAAAAAACACAGGGAAAGAAAGCTCCTGCTAAGGATAAGATAAGTTTTGGAATAAGTTCTCTAATGCACTTCACTTATGGGACTTCTCCAGGTGTAATTGTCTGTAGGCCTCTCATTGATGGGCTGATGATCCAAACTTACAAGATGTCTCAAGTCGTTGATTGCATCGTCAAGTTTCCGCAAAATGTTTGCTACCCATTGGGTAATGTTCTGATAAAAAAAGTGAAACTGCAGGATATTAGGAAGCTAATGCAATATGTTCCAGATAAGTTCAGTGGTTTTTATGATGAACTCATGAGCTGGCCAACAACCAACGAGGCGAATGACGGGGAGAAACACGATATCCAGTGAGGTGTCTGACAAAGGCTTTGTGATCGGTCCTTTTATACATTGTGTGATTTAATATGTGTAATAGTTTGACTTTTGCTTTTTAATAGTTTTTTGTACAAAAAATGAATAAATATATAAAAGACAAGCTTTTTGTTATTATCCTTAACATATTAAACAAAAAGGTTCTAAGTCAGACAACTTTAACTATGTTTAACACATATATGTATCACAAATTTTGATATATATTTAACAAATCTAATATTTAAAGATGTCAAAAAGCACTCAGATTTTTCTTTGAATTTATTAAAGTAACAATTTTGGATTTAATACGTTTTTTCTTGTTTCCCGAAAAAATAATTTTTGTGACTTAAAACACTTTTGTATACATTGATTCAAATGTAATAACACTATTATAGTTTTATTACTTTTATAATGCAGTTAGTAAAAGTGTTATTACTTTTGTAGTCGTAAGTTTATTGTTTTTGTTTTGTTTTTTATAACTTTCTCGCTTGCAAACTTTTAATAATTTGCTTATTGTAAACAAAGTACACAGCTTTGCATGAACTAAAAATTTAAAGACCAAATATTTTACCAAAGTTTACAAATCGTAATTGTATAATTTAACCCTTGATATATACTTGTTACATTATAATTATACAAATATATTTTACAAACAGATGATGATATATATTTGCTCTTTCCTCTTTTAAAGAAAAAAACGCAGAAAATATAGGAAAGTCATCCTTTTTAATGCTTAAAATCCTTTTTTTTTTCTTCTTTTTTTTTGCTTCAACTTACTGAATTTTGTTGCCGCTAATAATAACCACAAAGAAAAAACAAAAATAAAAACAACACACAAATTATTTAAACTATTATTATTGTTTTCTATTTAAGTTTACTTTAATTTCTTGTGTAGTTTTTAAATTTAAAACTTTTTTCAGCAATGCATATAATAACACTTGATCATGGCAAACAGCCATGATCAAGTTGTCAAAACTTTGAAAGTTTATTATAAATTATAGATTTTATTACTATATACTTATTTTTTTTACAAAAAGCATGTAGTTTTTATGTAAATGTAATTTCGTGTATCTGTTTTTTATTGTAATGAAATCTTTTGTAAACAAAGACTTCTGTTTTTTTTTTTTTTTTTGTAACCAAAGTAACCAAATTTTTTTTTTGTAAACAAAGTAAACAAAGACTCGTTATACTTTTTTCTGCTTTAAATACTAATTAAAATTAAAAAGCCCACTCGCTAAACATCATTAGCGATATTGATAAGCAGTTTCGCTTCCTTTTCATAAAGTATTTTTAATCTTTTTAATTGATTTCTATCTAGTTAATTTAATTTCTATAGTAATTCAATAATTTAATTATTTCATTTATCTTACTATGAAGAATTTTTTTAAATATGTTAAACTTTTCAAACTACGCGAAACATAAAATAGGTATTAAAAAAATATAACTTTTATTTATAAAATAATTTAGCTTTGATAAAACTAAAACTTGCAAACTTTGCTAAACAAAGAACATTTGTTTCTTTTTTAAACAATCGTAAGATGTTACTTTATATAAAAAACCTCGCTTATTTTAATAAAAAAATTATAAAAGAGCGATGTTTCCAATATATTTGTTCTAAATGTAATTTATTTTGTTTTTAGTTTTTTCACGTTAAAAGATATTTTTGTAATTTTTTTTTTTTTTTGTAATTGTCTCTTATTGGTCCAATTAATCTTTGGGGTACTTTTTTTTTGCTTTCTGAAATGTTCTCAAAATGACTAAAAAATCTGGCCAGCTTTTCGCAACTAAATATTATTTTCATGGTCAGCGATTGAGAGTAATCGCTCCCGCTTCCCGACCAAGCCTGTTAAATACATAAATTATTAAGTTTACTTATTACTTTATTAGATAAAGCAACAAATTAATTATAATGTTTACATTAAACCCATTTTATAAAAATTATCAAAGAATATTATACGCAATTTTTTTATTTAAAAGCTAAAATATTTGTTTGAAATTTATAAAAAAATCATCGGACAAAAAATTATTAAAAAAAATTGTCGGACAAAAAATGAATACCAAACTATAAATTCAAATTAATAACTAGTTGCTACATTTTAATACAAATGATAAAAACCAGGCTACTTTATTCAAAAAAGTTTAATGCTTTGACCTCTTTTAAAAAATAAATTAACTCAAAAAAAATATGAATTTTATTAACATAGCCGTGTGTTAAACTTCAATTTTGTTTTGTATGAAAAAAAAAAAGTTCAAAAAATAAGGTTTATATACAATACTGAATTTATTAATAATTTTGGAACAATTTTTTTTAAGTGCCGGACTATGTCTGATGTCCGGCGCTTATTTCGAGCCCTGTTTAAACCAGTAAAAGATAAAATGCATTGCAATTAAAATTTTGATTTTAATTAGTTAAACGCTTTGTTTTTCTACAAAAAAAATAGGATAATGGCAACCCTATATATTTAATAGTCATATATTTAAGCCATAGAATGGGTCATCCATAAATTATGTCACACTCTAAGGGTGAAGGAAGGAGGTACTAGTGGTTTTGCAATGAGTCGTATGGATTTTGTAACTAAAAGGTTTAGGCGTTGTGAAGAGAAAGAAGGGAAAGGGGATCGAAAAAGGTCAAAAATAGCAATACGTAATTTATGGAAAACAAACTTGTTTTTGAGTATTTTTCAAGCTATTAAGTCTTTTTAAACACAGGAAAAATCATTTTTTAAATATAGCAATTGATGTCTATCAACATCTTTAGATTAAAATTCGTAATATTTTTTAAGTTGCTACAATTTATCATTTAAATTACATAAAAATGCATTACAACATTTTGGTTTAAATACGCATTTAGTTTACAAATTATATTTGCAATTTAAATAACTAATTTTGGTGGGTTATTTAACTAATTATATAATAAATAGGAAAGAGTATAAAATAGGAGAAGGCAGATGCACGAAAAAACAAGTTGAGAGAGGTAATTGAACTTGGAACTTTTTGCTTACAAGGCAAGCACTCTACCACTACACCACTACTGCATGTAAATTTGAAGTTATGAAGTTCTATATATAAGTATAATTATTAGAAATACCTTTAACCTAAATTTTTAGAGCAATGAAATGAACTCAAAAATAAATGATAATTTTTTACAGCACACTTGAAACTTTGTAGTCTACTCCTGCAATTCATGGATTATTTTATTAACAAAATCATCAAAAAGGTTAATTGGCTCAAAAAGGTTATTAAAAAAATTCAGAGTCTGGAGTCCAGAGTCCTTCCTTTTTGACCCCAGAATCCCGGAAACCCTAAAAATCAATAGGATATTGCATCCCTAAACATCAGTATATAATATTATCACTATCACAACCAATGTCACCTTTTTTTTAAATGAAAAAAAAAATTGTAAAAATTATAAATTATCAAAATTTTAAACTGGATGATTTACCTTATTTTCTCCTTCTAACCAATTATTGTGAAGATCTTTTAATGAATCAAAATGCTGTCGAAGATACTTCAGAGGTTTAGGAACAGATGTCATTGAGCTAGTACTGGCTCGAATTAAGGTTCGTAAACTTTCTAAGGCTGGTTTGTATAAATCTGTATTAGATTCCTAAAATCATGAAAAATACCATTTTATTCCAAAATTTATTTTTCAAAAATGTCTAACAAATTTATTTAAAAAAAAATTTTTTAAATCAAGAAAGAGCATCATTAGAAAAAAACAATATAACAATATTACAAACAAAAAATTGAGAGATATAATAAAATAAAGGTTGAAACCCAGGGTAAAAAAATAATAAATGTGGTGAAAAACAATCTCAGCAAACTGCAATTTTGCAATGATTTTGATATATATGGTTTACAGGAGAAATCAATAGTAGAGAATAAAATAAGGAGGTCAGTAGTAGAAAATAATTTCAAAAACTATAAAATAGGAGACAGTCAGTATGTTTTTTTTCATAAATATAAAAAATACAAGAATATTATGTAAACAATTTGCAGGAAAAAAAAAAAAGTTATATTCCCCCAGAAAAACTAATCTCTCTTCTGTAATTGCCTAGAATACATTTTCCAAGCAATTACAGATGAAGATAAGATTCAAGATTGGTTGTTTTTTCTAAAGAACATAAGTGTAAAGATCTTTTATTAAGACTGAAATTTATAGTTAAATTATCAGCAAACCAAGACTCTATAGTGATAAGACTGTCATAAGACATCAACCCAAATATTATTATCAGAGAATCAAAGAATGCCTTAAGAATATATATATATTTTTTTAATTATCTTCGTTTCCAACAAGGCTGCAAGCAACCACTAATTAGTGTTGGAAATTACTGGAAGAGAAAAGATGAAGATTGTAGAGCAAGATAACGATTGACAGACGACTTAAAAGATTGCAAATTATATGAATCAGGAAAGCAAGATGAAGGAAGCGAATTCCAAAGAACTGATGTTCGAGGAAAAAAACTAGACGAATAAGAGTTTTTGGAGCACTTAAGAACAGTAACAGAAAAAGGATGAGACTTAATTGAATGACGAGTAACACGAGAATTAATTTTAGTAGATGGCATAAGAGACGCTAGCTCCTTCGAGCAGTGCCCATTATAGTATTTGTAGAAAAGAGAAAGAGAAACAACATTACAACAATGTGACAGAGGTTGAAGGTTGGCTGCAAGAGCAGGTCCAACTATGTTTACAATGCACTTTTGCACCTTGTCTAAAAGAGAAAGGGCATCATTGGAAGATCTGCCCCAGATATGGCAACAGTATTCCATACAAGGCCGGATTTGAGATTTATAGAGATAGAGAATAGAATCCAGAGTAAGAAAGTGACAAGCTCGATAAAGAGAAGCAACTTTAGCAGATGCTAATTTTGCAACGGATTTGATATAAGGTTTCCAAGAAAGATCAGAAGTAAGAGTTAATCCTAGAAGTTAAAGGGTAGGAGACTCATCGAGTACATTACCGTTCATAAATATAGGAAGGTCTAAATTATTGCGATAACGATTGGCCGAAAAAAATTGAGTTTTATCTGAATTAAAGTTCACCAGCCACTGTGAGCCCTATGCTGTAGCAGAAGTGAGATCCTTTTCAAGCTCAGATGCCCCCTGCAAGAATCAGAGGGAGTTGGCTTTTTATCGTGACAAGAATAAATGGTAGTATCATCAGCGAACAATGGCACCTTAGATGTGAGAATATCTGGAAGATTGTTAATGTAAATTAAAAAGAGCATAGGGCCAAGGATTGAACCTTGGGGAACCCCTGAGATTACAGAATAAGAAGAAGAGTGCTGTCCATCAAGGACAACTTTTATACTACGATTGGAAAGAAAGGATTCAATAATCTTAAAGATGTTTCCAGATACACCGTAAGAAGAAAGCTTATGGAGGAGACCAGCATGCCAAGCTTTATCAAACGCTTTAGAAATGTCAAGAGCAATGGCTCAAAAAAAAAATAAGAATAAAGAATATAAGAAAAATGAGATGACAGTTTTTGTAAGATAAGAGAATGGTTTGAAAAATTCACCTAAAAATTAACAAGAATATATTGAGCACAAGATTAAACAAGGTAAAAATCACAGAGCTAAAGTAAGTGACTTGGGTTGTCTTAAAAAAGGCTAGGAATATTAACTAGCTTAGTGCAAAAAAAAAGAAAATGTTTATTACTAGCAAGGTCACTGGTATTATTGCCTAGTAACTGAGCATAGAAAGTACACCAAGTCAAAAATATTGGCATATGCAAGCCTTCTGAGGAAAGGTGTGAGTTTGCATCCTTTATTTGACCATGCATATAATATTTTGTTTTCACAACTTGATCATTTTAATAATTTGTGCATTTTAAAAAAAAGCTTAAAAAAACCTAAGTAAACTAAAAAGAAAATTAAACAAAAAAACAATTCATAAATTGAAACAAGAAAATAAATTTTAACGAATGAGAATGTCTTTCTTTTAGTTAAAAAGTGTTTCATATATATATATATATATATATATATATATATATATATATATATATATATATATATATATATATATATATATATATATATATATATATATATATATATATATATATATATATGTGTTTCATATATAAAAAGTGTTTCATATATATATATATATATATATATATATATATATATATATATATATATATATATATATATATATATATATATATATATATATTAGTGAAACGCTTTTAAATAAAGTAACAATTTACTGATAATGGTTTTTTTTTAATATAATTGACAGTTGTATAAACTTTTTTAATTTATAATAAATAAATTGTTTAAGTGTGCATTGCTATAATAAACAATATTAAAAAATAAAAAATGTTTGTTTTTATAAACGATGACATTCTACAACTACAGTCTCTTTAACAAATTTTAATATAAGAATAATTAAAGTTAATACATTAAAAAAGACAAACAAAATTTCGTTGAAAAAAATTTTTTTAGAAAGCTGTTACAATTAAATAAATTTGATCTTAAATGCTTTTCTATTATCGAAACGCTTTTCAATGAAGTAAAAAAAACATTTCTAATTAATTTCAATCTAATTAAAATAAGTATTAATAAACTGTTTTTTTTTTTAATTTATATAATTATGTATTTTTTATTAGAAATGTTTATCTTTTGAAACATTAAATAAATAAAAAAGTACAAAGGTTAAAACAAAGATTAAATCTTTGTTTTAGCCCTAAATATGTTTTTTTATTGCGTAAATTAAATAGACTAAGCATTTTAGTTTGATGAGTTTTCTTTTAGTTGGGCTATATATATAAATATATATAAATATATATATATATATATATATATATATATATATATATATATATATATATATATATATATATATATATATATTTAGATAAATATATATATATATATATATATATATTTATTAATATAAATATATATATATATATTTGATATATATATATATATATATAAATATATATATATATATATATATTTATATATATACATATATATATAAAATATATATAGATATAAAAATATATATTTATATATATATATATATAAATATTTATATATATATATATATATGTATATATATATATATATATTTTTTATTTTAATTCACTTCCTCAAGGCCGAGAAGGCCACTACAGACGAGGAGGCTACTTATTTGTGGTTATAACCCTCTCTCAACTCTATAACTCCGAAACACGAACCTTGACGAGCAAGGCCGTTGTGCAGAGAAACGAGTTGAGCGCGGTACTACCAGGGACGTGGTGGGGATCGAACTCGGAACCACTCGTTTATGAAGCGAGCGCTCTACCACTACACCACTACCGCTATAAATATATATATACAAACTATATATATATATATATACACTACTACTATATATATATATATACACTACTAGTATATATATACCGCTATATATATATATACACTAACGCTATATATATATATATATATAAATATATATATATATATATATATATATATATATATATATATATATATATATATATATATATATATATATATATATATATATATATATACATATATATATATATATATAATATATATATATATATATATATATATATATATATATATATATATATATATATATATATATATATATATATATATATATATGTATATATATATATATATATATGTGTGTGTGTTTTTGCTTTAACTAAGAATTTTTTTTATTTTCTCGTTCGTTAAGATTTTTTTTTTTTTTTACAATTTTTTTTTTTAAATAATTTTAGGTAAGATTTTGTATCGCATTTTTAAATTTTGAAAATATGTCAAAAGCCGTGGTCAAATCGTTAAAACCTATGCGTGGTCATATAAAAACGTGTTTTCGCACACCTTCCTGTGAAAGCCTGTATACTTTACTAATAAAGTTACTGTTGACTATGATTTGTGTATAAGCTTTTTCTTCTCAAAAAAAATCTGTGTTTATTTTGAACATCTGTTTGTTTTTATTATTTATCCTTCTTTATATAAAAAGTTTCAATAGAAACGTTTATTATTTCTCTATGGGTTTTCATTCAGTCTAGTTCAAACACTGCAGATTACCTGCATCAAATATAACAAAAATTATTAAAGTTTTCTTCTTCTGATTTATTTATATAAGAACTCTGGGGTGTTTTTGGAAAACTAATCACAATTTGAACAAAAACAATTCATAATAAGATCTGTCTGGTTACAGGCCTTCTTGCAAGAGGCGCACAATGGCACAACAATATATGCATATATAGATTGATTTGACAACTTGGCCACAGAACTTTGCATATCTTGATAACTTATGTGTTTTAAAAATGCTCTGAAAAAACCAAAATTAAGAAGAGAAAATTAAAAAAATGATAATAATATTTAATAATAAAACATATAAAAAATGAATCAGTAAAAATAAAAACATGAAATTATAAAATTTTTTAAATTTAGAACCATTTTAATTAATAGTTTAAACCTAACAATTTTTTTTTAATTAATATAATTTCAATTAATAGTTTAAAGCAAATAATTATTTCCATATCATAACGTGAGTGTGGCATTTAGGATAGTTTAAGGTTATATTTCTGAAGTGCCTGTTAATTCAGTATTGAATACAGTTCAAATCCTTTTAATAGATAAATTTTTTTTAGTTTTATTTACTTAGCAGACATTAGAAAATATCAAAGTTTCAAGTTTTTAAAAAACTAAGTTTAGAAGCAATTAGGCTTGGATTAAATAACTTTAAAACTTCAAGCTTTTCTAAACTCTATAAATTAAAACGCTTTTAAATTAAAATAAAGATTAATATTAATTCTATGCTTTTATTTTTTCTGGTTTATCTTTTATTTATTTTATCATTTAGTAAGATTTTTATTTTTTTAGTTTCATTTTATTTTTATTTTTTTTAGCTTTTAGGCTCAGAAAAACAATAAAAATTTAATTACACTTTCATATAAAATTTGGAAGTAACAAATATTAATTGATAAAAATAATTACCGTAAGTCTTTCCACTAACATGTTAAGCTCTTCTAATAAATGCTTATCTTCCTCACTCTAAAAAATTTAAAAACATAATTCTTAATATCAAATGCTGTGAAGATATAATATTTAGTTGGGTCCAGAAAAAAAGTTACCAGTACAAAATCTAAAAGTAAATATAGATTTAATGGGAATTTAAGATTTTTTTTTAATTTTATTTAAATAGATTTGGAACCAAACAACAATTTTTATAAAATAAAAAGAATGAAAGAGAAATTACTTCCAAGATAAAACTTTTTTCTTAAACAAATAAAAAAATTTGAAAAACAATATAAAGTATATACTAGGGTGTCCCAGTCACGCCTTATATTCTAAAAAAGATCTGGTCATATTCTTTAAACTTTCCATTGGCTCCCACAAACAACTTGGTTAAATTTTTTCAAAATTTTATTGGATTTAGAGGAAGCACAAGACTTTTGAACACTTACCAGGTCCCTAATATTATTAAAAAAAAGGTTTTTCAAAAGTATGTCATGTTAGGTCTCAAAAGAAGCAAAATTATATAATAATCATTTTATAACAAAAATAATAATCATTATATTAAAAAATTATTATTTAAGAGTTTATTGCAACAACATAAAAAGACCTTTTTTAACTAAAAATTAAAAAAGTGTATTTTTTTGATAAAAATTCCCAAAACACACTTGAATAATTTTTTAATAAAGTGATTACTATTTTTGAAATTTTTAAATAATTTAGTTTCTTTTAAGATCCAACATGACATGCTTTTAAAAAACTTTTTTTAAAAGCATGTCATGTTGGATCTTTACTTAAAAATATTAAGGACCCGGTAAGTGTTCAAGAGTCTTGGATTTTTTTTTTTTTTATCTATTTAAAAAACTGTAAGTGACAAATTTTATTGTATTATTATATGAACATGTTTTTTTAATTTTTCATATTTGAAAAAAAAAATTGACTTTAAACTGTGTTTTAAATTGTATCTCTGAAAAGTTATGTTTTATTTTAAATATTATATAGTTTTAACATATGCTTGTTGATATTTTAACCATGATATTTGTAAATAAAGAATTTCATGGGCTATATATATATATATATATATATATATATATATATATATATATATATATATATATATAATATATATTTTAACCATGATATTTGTAAATAAAGAATTTCATGGGCTATATATATATATATATAGATATATATAGATATATATAGATATATATATAATATTTATATTATATATATATCTATATAAATATAAATATTTATATAGATATATATATAATATAAATATTATATAGATAGATATATATAAATATTTATATAGATATATATATAAATATATATATATATATATAAATATATATATATATATATATATTTATATATATATCTATATAAAGATTTATTTTTCTTTTTATTTGGAAAATTTAAAGAAATTTTATCGTTACCATCATATATTAATACCTTACACAGTTTTGGTTGTAGAATCTTTTTTTTTTTTTGAAAAAATTTAATGCTTATTCCGATGTCACGTGACGATAAAATTGTCTTATAATTTGCTATTCCAATCAGATTGGTATATCAAAATAAATATAATTTGTGGTTTGTAAATAATACTCATTTTAGGGTTGCTGTTAATATGAGTTCAAAGAAAAAAATTCATGTTTCGTTTGTTATAACTGGACTTGCAAAACAGTATTTAATTGACAATTTTACATTAGCCACTGATAAACATGAAGATAAATGCTTAAATGGGCATGTTTTGCTATTGTATATACAGCAATCCAAGTCTAATTTAAAGACTGCCAGAATAATTTATGAAAAGTTTGGTTTTTATCCCACTTATAACCAGATATATAGTTTAGTTATGAAATCCAAAAGACTGTTTGCCCATCTCCAGTCATCTAATAGAAAAAAATTTGAAGAGTTATGCAAAAAAATCTTTAAATGTAATCAACTATCAACTATGACAAAAAGTGTTTTATGTGAATCGGTTACTTTACATTTAGCTCCTGTTGAAAGAGAAATAGGAAAATCTTTAACTTCTGATATTTTTCAAGAAACAATTAAAGAAATGCCTTGTAAAGATACTCTGGGTAGTGAATTGTTGAAAAAGAGATTAAGCTTTATGTATGAAACTAATGCAAAATTGAAATCGAAGCATAAAGAAAAACTAGCTGTTCTAAAACTCAGAGTTAGAGCAGATCCTCATGTTATAAAAAGACTAAATCAAACTATTAAAAGAAAAAATTTAACCATTCCATATTTAAAGCAAAAACTTGCTAAAATTTCTTCTAAAAATTTAATATTATATGAAAATGAATTTAAAAAGAAAATTAAAATAATCAAGCTTAAGAAAAAAGAACAACAAAATGATTTGAGTAGCACCATTTTGAGTAAAGATAACCAGATAAAAACTCTAGAAGTTGAAGTAGCAAACTTGCTAGAAAAATTAGATAAGTTGAAGGATTCTGTCATTGATCATTCCAATTTTATTGCAAAAATTTTTTAATCATTTTGGTTTAGTAAATGCAGAAAGTTTTCCACAACGCAGCACAGTTGAAGAAATTGTTCATGAGTTAGGTATAATCAGCAACCTTCATGCTGCTGAAGTTGCCATTTCTACACCCAATCTTACTCTTGGGTTTGACGCAACAACCCAAGAAGGAATTCATATAAACTCTGTTCATTTTACAACCAAAACAGAGTGTCATGTTATTGCAATAGATCAGTTGTCAGGTGGGACTGCACATGATTATCAAACTCATATTGTATCTTCAATTGATGAACTTGCATTTTTGTATTCTGATTTCTATAATTGTGACTATCAAGAGAGTCGGACAAATATAATTAAAAATATTTCGAACTCTATGACTGACCATGTTGCCGCTAATCATGCAGCTATTCAGCTAATAAATTCTTCATGGGGTAAAGTTTTAAATGAATTAAATTATCATGTGCATCCTCTAGAGACGATTGCCACTGCATGTAGACCTGCATTAAAATCAATTGAAAAAAATAAAGGAGTGCTGTTTGGCAAAGATTGCATGGCTGGAAATATAGTTTTACAAATGAATAAAATGCGATACAAAAATGGCAAAGGAGAAAATAGACTTTATTAACGAAACAGCCATAAAAGAAATGTGTGTCTTAGGGTTATTGGGTAAGACTTTAACAGGACCATGGATGGCATTATTTTATTAGTCAGGTACAGGAAGTTTAAGTCATATTGAAGGAATAAAAGTAGTGAAAAAATTGTTAAAAAATGTTTATCATGTGAAAAACAACCCTATGTTGTTATTTAATGCAAAAGATTTGTTTGGAAATAGTATTAAAAACGATAAGGTTTTTAAAACAATAGTTTCGGTGTGCACGAAAGACAAAGAAGTTAAACAAATGATTATACTTTGTTTATTAGCTATTATTGATGTTTTAGAAAGACAGTATAAAAGATACTTTAATTTAAATCTATCATTACAACTTATAAAAGAGACACAAACAGCTAGGTTTCATAATATTGATGCAGAGGAAATCATGGGCATGTTCAGTGCTGCTAAACATCGTGCTCCCAACTCTACTTTGTGTTTTTTGTCATCAAATTTAAGAGCAATAAAAAATAATGTAGTTAATTATATTGAAAAAAAAGATGAAGATGATAAAGAGAAAATTGTTTACTGGGCAGTAAACAAAGCCAGAACAAAGAGAGGGATGAATAAAAAAAATATTGATGAAATAAAGCTTGAACTGATTTGTAGAAATAAGTTGAAGAAGCAAAAAAAAGAGAATAAAAACCGAAAAATATTGGCTCTTCAAATTCAAAACCTTAAATTTTCAGATATTTTAATAGCATTTCCAGAACTAGAGTCTAATCAATTATCAGACCTCTCAGATATGCTATCAGATACAGTTGTTGGTAGAAACATTTGCCATATATGGTTTAACTCTCAAATGCAGGGAGAAGAAGTTTATTATGGTAAACTTGAAAAAATGAAGTTAAAGAATGGTAAGCAAGTGTATGTTGTAGCATACTGGAAAGATAATGAAACGTATGATAATGATGCTGTGGATTATGACATTTCAAAATTCGAACTTGCTGCCGATATAATATACGGAGACCTTATGTTATCTTGAAAGTGAATTGATGATTTTTTTTTTAATTGCTGTTTTCATAGTGGCTTATATTTTATATTTATATTTGGGCATATTATATGCTATTTGCATATGTTTAAATACTTTGGTTTTTAATTTGTTTTTTTTTTATATTTTTAAACTTCTTCAAGATTATTTCATAACCATTTTTGTAATATATACAAAAGATCAAAAAGCATCAAGAAATGCTTTATTATATAATAAAAGCATTTTTAGATAAATTTATTTTTTTCTTTTATTAGATACCGGTTTATAATTTTTAGTATTTGTTACTTTGTTTTACATTATTTTGAAAATCCCCCCCCCCCAACTTGCCTTCCCTCCCCACACACTTTATATTAACCCTCAAGTACGCCCATTTTTCTTTGCCCAGAGGCAATTAATATTTTGCAAAAGGCAGTTGATGCTTTCTTTAGATTTGATAACCTTATTGATAACTAATTTATAAAAATTAAATTTGTTGTGTGAATACTTAAACACCCTCTCTGTACCCACTATGTGCCCCCATCACCGCCACCCAAAATGAATATCTTTTTCAACCACTGTTACTAAAGGAATATTTGTAACTTTTCTTAGCTTTCAATTGATACCAAATTTAATCAAATTGGATGATTTTTATTGCAGTTATGATTAATTTAAGTTGTTAATTGCAAATTAACGGTCACAACTTTTTGCAAAAATCCCTATAAAAATTTTATGTTTAAAAAACTCATAACTTCCTTAAATGACATCGAAAAATTTAAAGTGAGGTATTTTTTTTTTAGTTACTAAAAGGTGCTTCTAATGATGTTTTTGAATTTAATATCTCGCTTTTTTGATTTTTTTTGTAACATACCTATATATACACATATATTATATATATATATATATACACAATGTTATATATATATATATATATATATATATATATATATATATATATATATATATATATATATATATATATATATATATATATATATATATACATATATATGTGTATATATATATATATATACATATATATATACATATATATAAATATATATATATATATATATATAACATTGTGTATATATATATATATATATATATATATATATATATACACACAATGTTATATATATATAATATATATATATACATATATATGTGTATATATATATATACATATATATATACATATATATAAATATATATATATATATATATATATATATATATATATATATATATATATATATATATATATATATATATATTAGATTTAATAAATTATACCATTTCTGATTCTTCTTTCAATTTTGCTTTCGCATCTTTCTCTTTTTTATTTATTTCATCATCGCTTGATTTTTTATTTAGTAAAGAGTTAATTTCTTGTGGTGCAGCAGGAGCCATTTTTTATGTTTTAACAGTATTTTGACCAAATATTTCTTTTCCGAAATTATCAAAGAGAACAAGTTCCAAAATTTAAGGAAAAAGCATCTATGCAATAAAGTGCGCAATAAGTCAAAACAAGTTTCCTCCGTAGATAACGATTTTTAATAGAAGTTTTATAAAATTTAGATATTGAATAGAATAATAGATATTTAATAGAAATCTTTCCAAATCAATACGTTAGTTTTGGCGTCCAAAGAAAAAATTTTCATCTTTAAGGACTTTATTTTACTTGTAAAAAAAATGTTAATGAAAAGGAGAAAAAAAAGATACGATTATATTCCTACCCTGGGCCGCCAAGAGGGACAGTTGAAGTAGTTTGTCCCGGGCATCACAGTCTATGGGGCATCACATAAAAAAAATATTGTAATGATAAAAATTATTGTAATGATAAAAAATTTAGCTGATAACATATTCAAAGGAAACTTTTTGTGATAATTTCTTTCTCTTTTTAAACTTTTTTTACATTTAAAATAAGATAATTATTACTTTAGATTTTCTTTGGTCTTTTGTTTTCTGAATAAAGTAAAGATTATTTTCATATTTAACGGCATGTAAAAGTTCTTTCGGAGATAAAACAAAATTGGAGATTAAGAGTAATTTTTTGTAAGAATCAGGCAGTCAATGGAAGTGACCTCCTCCAAATTGCTTGAATTTTTTATATATTGATCAGAATATAGAGAAAACCTGTGGGGCTGTCCATTGATTACGTCAACAAGCTTTTTGAAATTGTTACCTCCTCCCCACCCCCTTGTCAACACTTTGTCAAATTTCCAGAGAAATTACCTCCCCCCCTATTCAAAGAAGCTACGCTCGTTATTTAAGCAATGAAATTCAAAAAAATAAAAATTGTTGACATCAACTTTAATTGACCTCCCCCCTCCCCCTTGTCAACAATTGTCAAAAAAGTTCAGACCCCCCCCCCCTTCCCATAATTTGTTGACGCAATTAATGGACAATCCCTGTTAGTGAAAATAAAAATTTCAAAAATGTTTCGTTCACTCGGAATCTGGGCTTAAATTTTTGAGATTTTTTTAAAACTTTCAGAAATTTAGTTTTTGCCACCTTTGAACCCATTGTTTTGGCATGGCAAAAAGTTGCACATTTTGTCTGATATTAACTACAAAGCCTTTGTAGTTAATATCAGAAGTAATCCAAAAGCTCTCTCCAAATAATATAAAAAAGTTGCGTGACACTGTGCGGTTGGCTAATTATCATAGTTCAAAAGTACAAAATCAATCAGTTTTGTCTATTTTTAATCGGAGTTATTTCTGGCGGCGAAGTGTTGCAGGCGATTTTTTTTTAAGGATTTGAAAGTTTCAAAGGTATTGAGTTTAAAAATGCAAAGAAAGTTATGTGATACCTATAGCCTATTCATATATTAAGACTTGAAATTGAAAAAAAATGTTATAGTATACTTACAAAATGAGCCATTACAGCAGAGGCGCTAAGTTTTGTAAAAATGTAAACATATCCAACTACCAATACAACGTGGTCCTAACATAATAATAAAGAAAATTCGTGTGATTTTTTCACACGTATGATACAACATGAATTAAAAACTGAACAAAAGTTGAACATCAAGAAAACTATATTGCTAATTAAATAAAACATAAATCAAACATTTAAATTTATTTCCATTTAAAAATTAGTTTTTTTTTTATTAATAGAGTCATTTACACGCATTATCCACCAAATCACACATATTTTTTAATTTGCTTCAGTAAGTTTCTCTAAGAATAATGATATGACTGTATTATAGTCTTCTTCGGATAATGAATAATCGCCGCAACCACTGATTAGAAAAGGAGCATTTACTAAACAGATAGTTTTTTCAGTTTAGTTATTTATCTCCTCGTTGTGTAACTAGCCAGCGAAAAGTATTCTTCTCTTGCCCTTAATCATACAATTAACTCTGATCCCAACATTTTAAAATAATATAAAAAAAAGTTTATGATTTGTTTAATTTTGTTTACATTTAATAAAACTTATAAAGTCTAATATAATGACATTCTCAAACTATTTTTACATTTTATTTATATTGCTTTTATTTTAGAGCACTGTTTTGTAAAACAAAATAAAAACTTGAATTTAGTATATGCTTTTGATTATTATTACCTCCACAATATATAAATATTACTATTAAATTTGGTACCAAAAACCAAAAAAAAACAAAAAACACATTAAATATTAGAAAAGACAATGTTTTTGACTGATCAAAAGGAGTAATTAGAAAAAAGCTATAGAAGTAAAAAAACAATGTAGAAGCAAGAATAATAAGAGAAATTTGACAATGCTAGAGTTTTTCAAAGGTGGAGATAGGTAACCACCACCACAAAAGTTTTTATGTTGGACTCTACCGTAGAGGAGGGTAAGTAAAACCTACGGGGAAACTAAAGCCATTATAGCAGGTAATTCTTGGATGGTGATAGTGGCAGCACTGTTTGGATTCAACAGCTGATGTTGTGTTCTTCTAATAGGAACTTGGACTGCTTTCCAAATACTTGTCTGGATTATTAAAACAATATCAGGTAAGTGTACAGTAAAACTATATATTTAACCTAAAAAATCGGTACAAAAAGTTACCTTGCATAACTTCTGCTCTGAACAAATCATTTTTAATCTTAAATTCTCATAGCTCTCAACAAAAATAACCTCAATTTATGTTTCATCACACCTTTAAAGGTTATAACCTATAACTTGATTCTTTCTTTTGTTGTGATGTTTTTTTTTCAGTGATACACAACATGGGGTAACTAAAGCCACATCATAAAGGTGGCTTTTGTTACCCCATACTTTATAATTAGTCAAAATTCCTTAAGTAATAAATTTTTTCTCTTTTTTAGGACTAAAATGCCTCGAAACCCAAAGAAGAAGCTTGGTAGCCGGAAGTATAAGGATTACACAGATCAAACGCTGAAAATAGCTGTAGAAGAAGTGAAGAAAGGGTCATCTTTAAGAAAGATTGCTGAGAAATTTGCTATATCAAGATTTGCTCTCACTGCTGCCCTGAAAGGTAAGGTTAACAAATGTGGTAGGCCTCCAGTTCTTAATTCTGAAGAAGAAAGAAGATTAGTTGGATCTATAAGCATGGCCGGAGAGTGGGGATTCCCTCTTACAGCACTAGACATAAGACTAATAGTGAAAGGTTACCTGGATCGGTGTGGCCGAAATGAAGTTAGGTTCAAAACAATATGCCTGGAGTTGATTTTATTGACAGTTTTCTCAAAAGAAACAGTAAAGATCTTTTCAAACGGTTGGGTCAAAACATTAAAAGAAGTCGAGCGGCTATCAGTAGGGACATCGTGAATAACTACTTTAATGAACTAGAAAAGACATTAAAGGATGTTGATCCATCAATGATAGTAAACTACGATGAAACCAACATGACTGACGACCCAGGGAGAAAACAAGTGATCGTGAGAAGGGGATCAAGGCATCCAGAGCGTATAGTAGATTCTTCTAAGTCTAGCACATCAGTAATGTTTTCTGGAAGTGCAAGTGGAATGCTACTGCCTCCTTGTATAACTTATAAGGCAGCCCATCTGTATGACTCTTGGACAGAGAATGGTCCAGCAGACACTGTGTATAATAGATCGAAGAGCGGGTGGTTCACTCTGAAAATTTTTGAAAACTGGTTTAAGAGATTAGCTTTGCCCTACTTTAAAAAATTTGACAGTGATGCCAAGAAGGTTTAGATAGGAGTGGAAAGAGGCTAATCGTGGCTCTATTTCAAAAGACAGGTTTCCAAGACTTCTGAAAAAGTGCCTTGATGCTTTGGGAGAGGAAAACATAAGCAAAAACTTAAAAAGTGGATTTAAGGCAGCTGGTATTGTACCTTTAGACCGAAATGAAATTCTGAAAAGGCTTCCTAATGGTGATGCCACTGCAGTATCTGAAGAGCTTAATTCAAGCAACAACTGGACTGATTCTATCAAAGCTTTTTTTGAAGAAAGTTGGAAGAGAGAGACCGAACCTCTTAAACAGCGGAAGAAAAGGAAACTTAATGTCCCAGCAGGAAAGGGGATTGAAGGGATTGAAGACACAATTCTGATCAATGATGATGATCCTCAACCAAATAGGTCCAATACACCCAATACCAAAACAAAGGAAAACCACAGCAAACTAAAGACTTTGAAACATAATAAGAAACTTGCGAATTCCGACTCATTTGATGATAGTGATGACCAGTATTCTTTGAGAGACTCTAATTCAGATATGGATCCAGAAACATTTAGTGACCTGGAATCGGAGATACCAGTAGATCTACAACTAGAAGAAACAACTTATGACGAACCCCCCAAAATAGGAGTCTCTAAAGGAGAACTTAAGTCTGATATTTACGTCATTGTTGAGCTCATCTTTGATAAGAACACAAAAAAAGAAACCACCAAATAGTTCTATGGAGTTATTCTTAGAACTTGTTTTGAGAAGAACGAAGTTACAGTAAAGTTTTTCAGAAGAAGCTCCAAATCAAAAGGAAATGACTATATATTTCCAAATGTTGATGACGAAATGGACATTCAGTTAGCAGACGTCATTTCAATTGTGAAACCATCCAAAGTAAACAGAGGACGTTATACTTTTCCTTATGAACTACCGGTAAAGCACTGATTTCAACAAGACCTATTTTAAATAATATTTTTGTCTCTTTTTAATGTTTTTCTTAAATAATAAAGCTTTTTTCTTGTCAATAGTGGTTCTTTATTGTTACAGATGCATGATTTATGGATTTAGTTACCCAAGCACTCTCTAACTAAAGCCAAACATTGCTTTTTAATGGATGGCTTTTGTTGTCAATAGTGGTTCTTTATTGTTACAGATGCATGATTTATGGATTTAGTTACCCTAGCACTCTCTAACTAAAGCCAAACATTGCTTTTTAATGGATGGCTTTTGTTACCCCTTTTCCAGGGGTAACTAAAGCCACCATGTTTTCATTTTTTTTATTAAAAAAATGTATATTTCTGCAGTTTATGAATATATTTCTTTAATATATGACTACAGACTCAAGTTTTGCAATATTTATTTAACCTATAAATTAAAGGGTCTGACTTGGGCAGAAGTTTGAATTTCG